TATTATTATTATTATTATTATTATTATTATTATTAACATGTCTTGTGACTGGCTGTGCTGGCAAAGGCTGCTAGGAGAAGCCCAAGAACACCTGGGGAACCGTAGGATTCACACACACATTTTAATTGTTCTGCAAACCCAACATAAAAATCATCCACAAGTATATATATTTTGCAGCCTCAACCACTTGTGGTTATTAACCAGTTTTCAAAGCTTTGATTCTAGTTGCATTGACTTCTAGGGGTGGGTGGGCTAGAAATAAAGATAATAACAATAAGGTTCAGTTACATTTCTTCTTTTTAATTAAGGTATTTTCTGTTGGTGTGCATGCTAACAAAAATGACTAAGCAATGTGTCTTTACAATCCTGTATTCATTTCCTTGTTTTCTTGGGGAGGGGGAATCACTTTTGCCACAATACAAGTTGGCAAGATGGTAGGCTGTAAAGATGCTTCATCTCTTTAACATTTTGAATGGGGCAATGGATGCCCAGTAGCATTTTTAAAAAAATTTTATTCATTCATTTAATCACATCTACACAACAACAACCACAACCACAAAAAAAGAAAGAAAAATATACAGACAGACAAACCACCACAAGACATATAAATTACTTCTTCTGAGTTTCCTGCTAAGCTCATTTCTTTGTTGCAATTCAAGATTTCCCATTTAATAATAATAAATTCTTCCCCCCCTTTTATAACTCATCATAATACTAAATCAAATATTATCATACATATGATCCTGTTTTATGATTTTATATCTGATTATATGTCAGTTGCTATTACAGTCGTCCCTCTGGATTCACTGACTTTCCGTTCGCGGTTTTGAATTTCCGTGAATGGGAAGCCAGGAGGGACAAAATGGGCCGCGCACACGGGTCCACGCAGGCATTAAAAACAATGGGCCTCCAATATTTATGTTTTTCCCTCCCCCCCCCCATCGGAAGGGACAACTGTATTTTATTTGCATAATTTGCTTATAATTACTGTATAGTTTATATTTTATTTTCCCTAGATTGTATGCCTCTGGCAGGATTTAATGTTTGGAACTGATTGTTTCTGTAAAGGGCCATGTAAATGTATGGCCCTATGCAAATAACTGATGATGAAGATAATAATATCATATAGTAGCTAAACAAATTAAATAATCCATATTTCCTATTTCATAATTTACATTGATCCAGAATTACTTACTCTCCAAATCTCCCAATATCCACATGGCCAGAAGGAGATACCCTCCACTTACCATCTTAACTAAAAAATGCAGGCATCTGACTAACATCTCCCATTGTTTTTCTCCTGTTCGGTTTGTAGCATCTTGCCTGATGAAGAAGAAGCATGTAGTGCTTCGAAAGCTTGCAACAAGTATATTGTGCATTTTTGGTTGGTTAATAAAGGTATCACTGTTGGGTGGATTTTCATTTGTATATATATACATACAGACATGAGTGTAGTGTTGTGTGCCTTCAAGTCATTTTCGACTTATGGCGACCCTAAGGCAAACCTCTCACAGGGTTTTCTTAGCCAGATTGGTTCACAGGTGGTTTACCATTGCCTCCCCTGACGCTGAGAGAGTGTGACTTGCTGGATGTCACCCATTGGGCTTCGTGGTGGAGCTAGGAATCGAACCCTGGTCTCCAGAGTCATAGTCCAGCACTCAAACCACTATGCCAATGCAAAAGCACCACATCTACTATACTATGCCTGCACAAAGGGATTGTGTGTAGCACCTTTGAGGCTGTGGCTGTGGCTGCACTGTGGAAATCATGTACTGCTTTTACTGCCATGACCCAGTGCTATGGAATTCTGGGATTGGTAGTTTTGTGACATATTTCGCCTTCTCTGTCGGTGCACTCTGGTGCCCCTAACGTCTCCCATGGTTTTTCTCCTGTTTGCTTTGTAACATCTTAAACCTGATGAAGAAGAAGCCCGTGGAGCTTCGAAAGCTTGCAACAAGTATTTGGTGCATTTTGGTTGGCCAA